TGACAGCTAGGACGCTGCTCAGTTATGTGCACTCGATACCCTCTATGTAAACCTTAACTTCACACCAGGACCCCGACGATGGACCGAAGGCAGAGCATGAGGGAGTCACTGGACCTTTCTTCCTCTTCCTAGTGTGGTCATATTGAACAAATCTCCTCCTCCTACCTTTTCACTATTACTCTGTCTCTTTAATTGGCTTACTGAGGATGAGTGGCTGACCCTAATTCATTACGGCTTCAGGGCCCAGGCTCGGACCCTAAGAACTCAGGTACCATTTCCATCACTAAACTGATGCTCCATTCCAGAGTGCACACGCCCTGCCTCATGGGCTCTCTTGCAGTCTATTTCTACACACACACACACACACACACATTCCTTTAATCCAGTGGTTCTCAGCCTTCGTAAGGCTGTGACCCTTTAATACAGTTCATGTTGTGGTGCCCCAACCACAAAACTATTTTTATTGCTACTTCACAACTGCAATTTTGCTGTTATAAATCATAACTTATTTCATCTGCAGGATATTTGATATGCAACCCCTGTGAAAAGGTCGCTCAACTCCCAAAGGGGTCGTGACCCAAGCTGCAAACTAATGTTTTAATCAGAAACATCCCTTTCTAGTATTTGCCTGTTAATTCTTTTTCTTTTCTCTTTCTTTTTGGAATACTGGGATGGAATATAGGGCCTGATAAGCATAATGTATGCGTGCCAGGCACATAATCTAAGTTTCACTCCCTCCTGTTTACTTTTTTTTTTTGTTTTGTTGTTTTTTTGTGGACAAGGTTTCTCTGGGTAGTCCTGGTTTCCTGCAACTCGCTCTGTAGACCAGGCTGCTCTTAAACTCAGAGAGATCTGCCTGCTTCTGCCTCCTGAGTGTGGGGAGTAATGGCACGCCCCACTATCATCTGGATCACCTCCTGTCCGCTTTTCAAGGTCACAGTCCAAACACTACTTTCTCTAAAAAGCCTTTGAGCAGTGACCAATCTGTGTCAGGCTTCCGTACAAACTGGGTTTTTCATCTTCATTGCGCTGGCCTCACTGGCCCATCACTGCTTCGAGATTCTCCAGCACTGGCAGGAGAGGAGCCTTCAGAGCTGTGCTCATCACACTCCAAGACTCAGCATAGTGACTCAGCGATCAATATGTCTGAAGGGAGAGAGGCACAGGGGAATGCGCGGAGCCTGCCTCATTTGTCTCCCACTGACGGTTCTCGGCTGTAGGTCCTATACCGTCACTACCCTTCCTTCCAGCTTTTTTGAAGTGTATTATACATTATCCCCAGTTTCCAAGTGTGCTGTAAGCTTAGGCCTTATATTCCCACTTGCTCCCTAAAGTGCTACTATATGTGAGTTTGACTCTTAAGGGATGTTTTCTAGATAAGGAAAAAAAAATACTGACCTTTTAAAATCAGTGTAACCAGCGAGGACACTCTGCAGTGAGGGTTCAAGCCAAAGTCCCAGCGGTGACCTTCGTGGTCCTGCCCGATGCGGCCTCTCTTTGCTATGTCTCTGCTCCACCCCTGGAGCATCCTTATTGGACCGTGAGGACCCGGGACCTGCTCTCATACCAGGTCTCTGCAGAGTGCCAACACACTCCTCTCCCACATGTCTCCGCACCTTCTCAGGGACCCATTCCATGGCCGCCCTCCTGCTATCTCCCGCCTCGACAGTTTCTGCCTTTTTCTCAACAGCATTTACCACCTGGCACACTCTACTGTTTGTTTGCTTATGTTTATGGTTTCTCTGCGTAGCCCTGGATGTCTTGGAACTTGTTCTCCAGATGAGGCTAGCCTCAAGTGCAGAGAATGGCGCCTGCCTCCGCTAGGGTTGAAGGCGTGCGCCAAAACACCCAGCTATCCTGTACATCTGCACTGTTTCTCTCAGTAAAGGTGAATGCCTCGTGAGTAAGTACTTCTGTCTCTATGCCCCTTGATGAATCCTCAACATCTCATTCTTGGTACACAGCAAGAGCTCAGCGACTGATATCACGGTTTCCAGGCTTTCAGAGAACATCCTGAATTACAGCGAAACAGAGGACACACTCTTAAAAACATATGTAAAGGACTCAGGCAGACATTCTCTAAAGAAGATGTATAAAGGCCACTCAGCATATAGAATGCTGGAGAGACGGCTTTCTGCTTTATCAGGAGACCAGAGTTCAGACTCTGGCATCCACATCTCCTGGATCATAAGATCTGTAACTCCAGCTCCAAGTGATCTGATGTCCCCCTTATAACTTCTGTGGGTACCATCACGCACACAAGCATCCAAGGACCACACCAATAAAACCAATAAAAGGTTTAAAATACAGTATCATTATTCAAAACTATAATGAACCACCATTGCACATCCAACTAGGATGCCTGCTACCAAGAAAAAGAAAAATAGTAAGAGCTAGCAAAGAAAAGAAACTGGAACCCTGGGGTGTCCAGGTGGGCTTTGGGAAACAAAACTATGAGTGAATAATTAGGCAGAACTATCATACAATCCAGAATTATACCTACTGCTAGGTAGATACCCGAGAGGAGTGAAGAGAGCACCTGAAGGTGTCTGCATGCAACACCTATATCTGTCACAGATGAGAGATGAACAAAATGAGGGAGATTCTTAAGATGGAAATCTTTCAGAACTGACTTACGCTACGACTGGGATAAGCTCAAAGACTTTATCCTGAATCCTAAAGTAAGATATAAAAAGGCAACCATTGTAGAATCCTTATTTTAGGTACCTAGTGTGGTCAAATTCACAGAAACAGAATGGTGATTGCCAACAGCTCAAGTGGGAATTGGTGTGCATGGTTCTCTCTCTGTAGACCAGGATGGCCTCAAACTCTCAGAGATCCACGTTCCTCTTCTTTGGAGTGCTGAGATTACAGGCCTGAGCCCCCTCCCCCAGCCTCCACGGGCAGCAAAACATCCTTTTGAGAAGCTGAAAATGTTCCACCCCTGGAGCATTGTCCAGGTGGGTAATGGTGGTGCTTGCACAAGTAAGTGAATGTGCCTAATGCCACTGAATTGTACACCTAAAATGCTTAAGATGGTAAACGCTGTGTTACCTACATTTTACTACAATAAAAACAAAGGGCTGAATGCCGCTTTAAACTCGAACAAGGAGCCTGACACAAAAGGAGGTGAATAAAAGGGATCAAAGCCTGGAAATGGAGGGCTAGCTCTGTCCACTTTGTTTGGTTCATCCTTGCTCCCTCCAGGAGCACATAAAGATTAGAAACTAGGAGGCTTCGAACTCCACCCCAAGAACATACTGCCTGTTCTTAGTGTCCCAATGGACATATCTCCTCAGGCTCCACTTGTAGGAGGAGCTGAGCAGTAAGAGAAAATGCACTACCAAGTGGCCTTAGGACAAATGTCCATGTATTCCATTATCGGCAGTGACTCTCAGGTTGTGAGTTCCACCCCTCAATAACTCCAAACTCAAAATAATCCCATTGACTGGGACAAAGAACTATTTAACTCCCCACTCACAAGCGAATAAACACAGAGTTCAGTGAGGCTTACACACAGGGACAGAAGAAGAACTGCCCTTAGGAGACCGAGAACTACCATGTATGAAGGAGTAAAAAGCACTTTTATTTTATGTGTATGAACATGTATATATGCAGTGTCCACAGAGGCCGGAGCAGGGTATCGGCTCCCCTCCCTGGAACTGGAGTTATGGGCAGCTGTGAGCTGCCATGTGGCTCAGGGTCTTCTGCAAGAGCAGCTATCCCTCCAGTCCCATGTTAAACATTTCCAATTAGTGACTGGCTAACATTTTCCCACAGACTAGCACTACATCTCTTACTTCTGACCACTTTCCTTTTGCTGTTTGGCAGTTACAAAAAACAAAGGCTAAAGGAATAAGTGTCTCAGCATCAATGAGCTAGTAAGTCTTAGATGGCTGCAAAGCATACACATTTAACTACCATCATTCTGTCCTCTCCTGTAAGGCCCTAGCTTTGGCTCTTTGGGAAAGGCCTCAGCCCATGCTTCCTTAGGCTGAAACAAGTGCTAAGGAACCCACCAGTCACTGCACTTCCTGCATCTGAACTGATCTTAATACTTCACTATTCTCTGAGCCCAAATGGAACAAGACGCTGTTTTCTAGGCTAGGAAGGAACTCGTAGATCTTTCAAAAGTCTTTTCATTTCATATAAAAATATACTAAAACAAGTAGTCACATTTGGGTCATCCCAATTTCCCCACGGGGAACCTCTCCACAGGCGGAACAACCTGATGCTCCACAGGGCTGGTGACCCTCAACCCCCTTCCTCTCTAACGGCTTCTTTCTGAGGGGCCATCTCCTTCGTTCTCCAGACACTGGAGACAGGGGATGTACCCTGTGGCTTGACAACAGGAGGGCTTTCGATCTGCCAGGCCATCCCATAGGCTGCAAGGGCTTTCAGCCAACTGAAACAAATACTAAGCTGGAAGATGAATGCCGGGAACAGGCTCCAACTGGCCAAGTACAACGGACAGGGAAGGGGAAGCCAGGGTCACAGCACGGCGGGGCTCCGAGCAAACAGCTAGAGTCTTCTCCTCCTCTCGAGAGGTTTTTCAGGCCGTTTCCTCCACAAACAAAATCAGCTTCTTTGAAACCACCAGGGATTATATATATCGGCTCCTAAAACAAAACTATTTAAAGTGGTAGTGTTGTGTCTACTTTGTTACACACACACACACACTCACACACACACCAAGAAACCCAAACACCAGCTCACCCAACATGTACACCTGCAGTGTGGAGTGTGTGACAATCCCTACGGACTCGCTGTGTCACTGAACCGCAGACTAGCTTTTCCCACATTCATTCTCACCCCCACTACGCCCTAGCTGCCCTGGAACTCGCTCTGTAGACCAGGCTGGCCTTGAACTCACAGAGCTCCTCCCGCCTCCACCTCCTGAGTGCTGGAATCAAAGGTGTGGACCAGCACCACCAGGCTGGCCCTGGCATCTTCCAGCAGGGCCTGGAGCATGCGAACACCAAGGCAGGGACAGTGCTTACAGCGTTCTCCTTCAACTGCAGTCCTTCCCCGTTGGGAAGGGATGATCTCCGCTTGGAGTTTCGGTTTGGGGTAGAAGTGATGGCCCCCACTTTCTTCTTCACCGTGAGCACCTCACAGCTTGCTTGGTCCTCATTGTGCGTGCTCTTTCCGGCGTTGATAACCCTGGAGAAGAAGCCAGAGAAAGCCGATCAGATGGCGGTTTCTAGGAAGCTCACTGCCTGGTCTCTGTCTCAAGGGTCAGCCAAGGAGACTGCACAGCTGATATTAAACTGCTTGACTCAGGGGACCTGCGGTCTCCGCATCTCATGTCCTGAATAAACAACTGCATTAGCACCCCTGTCACCCTCATTGAGGGAGTTATTCCGAGCGCAGCTCACCTCTGCAGGTGTCTGTCGGATGTGGCAACCCCATGGTGGCCCTCTAGTCAAAGCACATGGAGCAGCCACTCCTTTAGGGTAGTCTGGAGGCTGTTTGGTAATTACAACACAGACAGGGTGGCTCAGAGAATTCTGTTCCATTTTCCCAAGTGATAAAGAGCAAAGTCACCATCCATCTTATCAGAGAACATGGCAGCAATTTACATCACATGGTGAAGTCCAAGAGAAGAGAGAACCGTATCTCACCGTGTGTGGCCCCTCCATTTACACATAAGTGTCTAGATCAAAGGTGTGCCTGCCGTCAGAGCACATTTAGCTCCATTTCTTATTCTGAAGAATGACAATCAATCACTCCTCTCTGCAATTTGACTTGGACAATGAAGACATACTATAAAGTGCCATGGCATGTGGGCAAGGCTTTGGTCTAGTTTCTAATGTGAGAAGGATCAGAGTCTTTCAGGAAAACGTGCTCCACCATTCCGGTGCCACTGCCTAGGTGCAGGTTCCTATATTTTATATCTTTTGAGTGGGCATGCAGGTATGCACTCACTCACACTAGGTGGGGCTGTATCTGAGGCTCAGGACAGACAGGTTCAATAGATGCATGCTTCTCAGGTCTGCCCCTGGAGAAACAAGCCAGGAGGGTAGGAGAATGAGGCGGGGAAAAAACTGTTCTCCTCAGTCAACCGCTGGCCAAGCAGCATGCTTGCAGTGTAGTATTTACTGAAAGACAATGCTATCCTGCCACGTTTTCCCAAAACGGCACCTTTCCCAGACAAGGCTGAAGATGGTCCAGCCGGGAAGCCAGCTGAAGATGACAGTTCCCTCACAGCACCATTTGGGAAAAGTCTCAGTTCCCAGAACTTGGCGCCCCTCTGCCATTAGGTCCTAACCTTGCGCTGTAGCTGTCCTTTGTCACTTTGCTTTAAAACAGTAACAGCAAAAGCCTTGCAGATCTTCAATAGCTCCCTGCAAGGCTGACTCATTGGCCATTCCTGGCTTCCAGGAGTCCATAAAACTACTATAATTACTTAAATAATGAAATTGAAATCAGTCTCCAATCTTCCCTTACAGGCATTATTTCTGAAGCTGACCTGGTTTTGCTAAGAGGTCCCCAAACCCTTGTGTTATACACAAGAGATCTAGGACCCTGGACTGCCACAACCAATACAAGGTCACACAGCTAAATATACAGCTGAGCTGTGAACACACTTGTGAGTCCTGAGCTCGCTCCTTGGCCTTGGCTCTCAGGCTGTTATTTTCCTATTGTGCATCTATTCCTGGAGACACATGGTTCAGAGGTCCGCACTGCACTGACTCATCAGAGCAGGGGAGCTGTGAAAGAACAATTATGGGTGACCTTACTTTGCCATTTCATGTTGAGTCAGCTTGTGAATAACCCAGTGAAATGCTAAAAAGTCAGAAATGTCAATCTGGTGAGCAGGCTGTAATACTGTCCTGGTCAGACAGTTCTGTATTGCCCAGGTGGTAAAACACTGACCACACAACACAACCAACCAAAACAACCCCAAACCCCAGAAACAAGACAAAAAAACATCCAACCAACCAACCAAAAAAAAAAAAAAAATCCAACGAACCAACCAAACAACCAAAAAACCAAGGACCCTCCCCCCCTTTCTTTCTTTAAAAGATTAAAAACAACAACAACAGCTTTGTTCTAGTGTACGAGCATTTTGCCTACATTTGGTGTACCAGGTGCATGAAGAGGCCAGAAGAGGGCATCAGATCCCGTGGAACTAGAATCTTACACAGTTGTGTCACCGCCCAACCCCATGTGTGCCAGGAACTGAAGCTGGGACCTCTGGAAGAACAGTCTCCAGCTCACCTGCTCTCTGGCATCGTTGGGGATGGATCCCAGGCCCACATGTGTCTCCACTGCATTCCACCTCCAGCCCTGCCTTTCCTCCTTCCCATCATTTCACCTTCAATATCTCACACAGGGTTAGTAGAAATACTTGATTCTTTTTCTATTTACTCTGGTCCTAAAAATTTCAATGTCTAGCAACTTAAACACTGTATTTTATTCCTCAAAGGCAAATGTATACCTGTCAAGTAAAAAGGGAATTAGATTCCACTAAAATAGTGGTTTCAACCATTTTAATGCTGCCGACCCTTTAATACAGAGCCTCATGTTGTGGTGACCCCAAAACATAACATTATTTTGTTGCTACACTATAACTGTAATTTTGCTACTGTTATGAGTAGTAATATAAGTATCTGATATGCCAAAGGGGTCGCGACCCACAAGGAAAAAAAAACAAGTAAATGGAGAAACTCTTGGTTTCCCAAGCCTAGAACAGCTTGTGTTAGCTGCAAGTTCCTGAACACATGAAGTCAGCCTTTGCCTTCTGCCCTGAATAAGGTCAGCACACACTGGAGGTCAAAAAGCACATTCCTTGTCTGCACAATACACTTATTTTGAATACTTGAAAACAGAATGCTAGTGGGCAGTAAACCATCTTAATTTTGGTGGTGGTGTTTTCCAATCTCCTACAGAGAAGGCAACCATCATCCCTGAAACTAACCTGCATGCAATGAACCTCAGCTGTCAGGAGCGAGGGCTTCTCCCAGAAACAGGCACAGAACAGGTAGTACTGAATGAATGCGGGAGTGGGGGGAGAGAGACCGCTCCCGCTTGCTCACTTCCTGGTGAGGAGAATGGCGTATCTGTTGAGATCTGTCTTTGTGCCAGAGAGCCGTAGGCACTTCACTTGGAGTGATCACCCCTTTGCGTCCTCTGGGCAACTCCGAGAACCTCTCAGAGAGGGCAGCTCGGTCAACGAGGGGCAGAGAGCAAGGAAGTAGCTGCCATGTACACCTCATGTCCTCAGCTGCTTTTCATGCATTAAATTCTGAGTCGCCAGGGTATGTGTTAAGGGATTTCACTTAAAGAACTGGGAAATTTTTAAGTTAGAACTTACATTCAAAGGAAAAGAAAAAAGAAAGAAAGAAAGAAAGAAAGAAAAAGGATGAAGGAGAATTACTATCTGTTCAATACGTAAAGTTTACAACCGCTTTTTTTTTTTAAGCATGTAGAAGAACAACATAATAGCTGCAATATCAGAGTTTGTTTTTAAAGGAAGTATGAAGCCCTAGGTGGTTTAAACTAAAAAAAAAAAAAAAAAAAAAAAATTACATCAAATGATTACACTTCTCAGCAGGCAGTAATTCCACTGGTTAAGATATTTTGTATAGGACATCAGGTGAACCGAGATAGATATATTGCTGATTCATATATAATTGAGAGGTGGACTGAAAATTGCTGTCTGGGGAAAATGAATCATTTATGGGAGATCAAATATAGCTGCCTGTTTGGAACATTCTCCTCTCTAGGTAACCTCCAGGCCTGCATTTGGTGAGGCTCTCTGCAGTGAGGACTGACTGCCCAGACAGGCTACAGCGGGAGGAACATTTAATCGCCTGATAACAGCCCTCAGCAAAACAGGGGAAATGGTGAATGGGAAGGACACCCATCAGGATTGACAGTCCCCTAAACAGCCACCCAAGAGCAGGACAGGGAAGAGAAGCCCACTCCATCCCTGCAGTCAACAGCAACCATATATCACAGAAGGAAAAAGCACAGTAAGAAAGCTTCGGAGGCAGAGGCTCCCAGCCGAACTTTGGACAGAGTGCAAGGAATTTTATGAAAGAAGGGGGAGATAGAAAGACCTGAAGGGGACAGGAGATCCAAAAGGAGACCAACAGTGCCAAAAAAAACTGGGCCCTGGGGGCCCTGCAGAGACTAATACCCCAACCAAGGATCATGCATGGAGAGGACCTAAAACCTCTGCTCAGATATAGCCCACAGACTCAGTCTCCAAGTGGGTTCCCTAGTAAGGGGAACAGGGGCTGTCTGTGGCATGAAATCAGTAGCAGGCTCTCTGATCACCTTCCCCTGGGGTAGGAGGTGCATCCTTGCAAGGCCACAGAGGAAAATAATGCATGTTAGTATTCAGGCAGCCTGCTTCTGGGTTGCCTAGCAACCTACGATGTCCTCATGTAGCCACACCTGGCAGGCGTGGTTCAGTTGCTCCATAAAGGATCAGCCCCCCCACTTAATCACTTTCTTGCCCACTTGCTCTCTCACTCTTCTGCTTTCTCCCCTTTCTCTGCTGGGGCACTCCCTCCATTCCCCCTATCATGTCTCGCTCTCTCCTTTGCTCTCTTCATCTCCATCTAACAAACCTCTTTCATATAAAATCTGTTATGTGCATCATCATTTCATTGGTCATAACATTGGTTTGTTGACCAGGAAGGGCTCTCCTGGTAACACCTGGTCTGGTCGTGCCAGGACCCTTTTAATTTGACCATGATGCCTGCAACAGATTTCTCTTCTGATCCACCTATCCATAACCACCACTCAACCAGCTCTGCCTTAAAACCTACACTGTCTGTCAACTGCCCTGTCCTTACCGTGCACACCTGTCCCTTTCCTTACAGCTGCTCAGACTTGGCGTCCTGCCATGTGGTCCAAGCACTGGAGACACAACGGACACTCACACTGCGCCAAAATCGGCTTGGGGAAACTAAAACACTCAAGCCAGACGCTGAAACTGCCACTTCATACACAGTCACAGCCTGCTTCTACCCTATTGCTGTTAGGTAGGCAATTGTTGGGGACCCTGTGCACAGATGGCTTTAGATTGTGCTGCTGCCTCAGGCCCCACGGGTGAAGATTTAATCTCCCACCAAACGCCTGCTGTGAGAGGCTGGCTTGCAGAGAAGGGCTTTCAGTTGTGCAGACTTCGATCAGCTGTGCCACGA